TTTTGAACCAGGGTCCCCCTAAATTGCCCAGGGAGGCTGTCCTTGAACTTGTGATCCTCCTGCCTCAGCCTGTGAAGTAGCTTGAGTAGCTAGGGTTACAGGTACCAGGCCAGACTCCATTGGTTTACCATTGGTGATGGTACTAAAAAGCTCAGAAAAATGGGAATGCTGGAGTGGATTTGCTGTATCAAACCTACTCTGCACTGGGAAAATGGAGATGATTCAACCTTCACCAAAACCTTAAGACATTTGTGAGAAGAGTGCCAGAATCTTTGAAGAGCTCTGTCCTTTCTCTTTTCTCTATGCCAGATCTTACAGTGGGGACCACAGCCACTCAGATGGGAAAATTAAATGTGATGAGTATAATTGGATCCTGCAGTGTCAGGGGACAACTGGAAGCACTCAACAATCAAAGACATATACTTAGCATAATGGATAGCAGGGCAAAGCAATGGTCAGAAAGGTCTGACTTGTGTTGATTTATAGCATTGGATAATTAAACACCAGTGTTCCCATAAGTGAAATGGATAGGAAACCTACTAAAAGATACTGGACTTCTATGAGCAGAAAAATTTCCAGAGCAAATGATTATAAGTGTACCCTGAATCATAACGACAGAGAATCATATGCCCCAGCAAATTCTCAGACTTGAACTAGTTTACAGATCCATGACCCCTTGACTGAAGGACAGGCTAGATCCCCTTGAGGAAGGGCCTTGTACCCTGCCAAAGAATTATACTGTTAATCTGTGTCCCATACTTCCCAGAAGGGACATAGGGCCTTTTACTAGTGTAAGCATACACTGGAGCAAAGGAAATAATCAGATCTTTTAGAAACTACTGAATACTGGTTCTGAGCTGACACTGATTCCAGGAGATCCAAACCATCATTGCAGCCCTCCAGTCATGGAGGTTTGGTGATCAATGGATCCAACCCACTAAAGTCCAACCCACTGTGGGGTCTGTGGGTCCCCAAATACATCTTGTGGTCATTTTTACAGTCCCAGAATGCATAATTGGGTTACAAATACTTAGCACTTGGTAGAATTTCCACATTTGTCCTTTACCCCGTACAGTGAAAGGTATTATGGTGGAAAAAGTTAAATGGAAGCCATTAGAGCTGTGTTGACCAGGGAAAGAATGAAATTCAAAACAATGTTGTATACCTGGGGAGATTACAGAGATTAGTGTGACTGTCAAGGCCTTGAAAGTTTCAGAGATGGTAGTTCTCACCACATCAGCTTCTCATTCTCCCGCTCGGCCTGTGTCAAAGACAACTAATTCTCAGAGAATGACAGGGGCTTCGTGTAAGTTTAATCAAGTGGTGATTCTAATTCCAGGTGCTCTACCAGTTTCCTTGTTCTACCAGTAGTTTCCTTGTTTAATCAAAATAACACATCTCCTGGTACTTGGTACAAAGCTCTTGATTTGGTAAATGTGTTTTAGCCGTACCTGTGCATCAGGCCTAGAAGAACCAATTGACTTTAAACTGGTAAGGCCAGAAATAAACTTTTATTTTTCTACCTCAAGTCTGTGTCAGCTCTCCAGCCTTGTGTCATAACTTACTGTGCAGGGAATTTGATAGCCTTCTCTTCCACATAGTATCACTGGTTCATTACATGATGGCAATATGTTCATTGGATAGAGCATGTAAGAGGTAGAAATCATTCTAAACTTGTTAGGAAAGCATTTGCATGTCAGAGGATGAGAAATAAATCCTACTAATATTCAAAGTCTGTCTTAGTAACTTTCCAGGTAGCTGGAACAAAATGCCCAACACCTGCAATTTAAAGGAGGAGAGGTATATTTTGGCTCACATTGCAATGCGAAAGCAGCTGGCTCCAAGGCAAGATGGCATGGCAGAGGGACATGGCTCAGGATAGCTACTCACAGAAAGGTAGACAGGAAGCAAAGAGTCCATGGAGGAACAGGGAAGGCAGATACTGTATAACCTTCCAGGTTAAACCCACAGTGACTCACCTCTTCCAACCAGGCCCTACCACCTAAGAGCAATCAGTTTTAATCCTCCTATAATCCAATCACCTTGCAAAAGTCCTGCCTATGATCACATGAGGTTTTAAGAGGACATCTGGATATAAACCATCATAAGATCCTTCTGCCTCTGTGAAAGTTCTAGAGTTCAGTGGTGTGCAGATATCCCTTCTGGGGTGAAAGAGAAGTTGTTACATCTGAATTCTCCAACAATTAATAAAGAAACAGAGTGCCTACTAGGTTTATTTGGATTTTGGAGGCCACACATTCCTCACTTGGGTGTGTTAATTAGTCACAGAGTGACTCAGAAAGACACTAGATTTGAGTGAGGCCCAGAACAGAAGATGACTCTGAAACAGGTCCAGGCTGCTGTACAGGCTACTTTGGCACTGGGCCACATGATCCAACAGACCTAATGTACTTGAGATGTTAGTGGGAGATAGAGACACCATTTGGAGTCCCCAGCAGGTCCCATAGGTGAATCACAGAAGAGGCCTTTAGGATTTAGAGCCAAGAACCTCCAATCATCTGTAGATAACCACTCACACTCTGAGGGACAGATATTGACCTCCTATTGGGCCTTAGTAGAAACTGAATACCTGGCCACCGGCCACCAAGTTACTATGTTGCCTATCACGAACTGAGTGTTCTCTGACTCACCAACTCATAAAGGCCTATGTGCACAGCATTAATCCATTATTGCAGGAGGTGGTATACACATCAATGGGCCTGTCCAGATCCTGAAGGCACAAGTAAGTTATATGAAGAAGTGGTCCAAATGCCCATGCTTCCTACTCCTGCTACAATGCTTTCTGTCCCTTAGTGTGCACTTACGGCCTTTTGGGATGTACTGTATGGTTAAATGACAGTGGAGGAGACTGGTATCTGTTTATAGATGATTCCACACATTATCCAGGCACCATTCAAAAGTGGACACCAGCAGCACTTATAGCTCCTTTCTTGAACATTATGAGAAGGCAGTAATGAAGGGAAATCTTCAAAGTGGACACAAAGCTGGGCAGTGTACCTGGTCATATATTTTTCTTGGAAGAAAAGATAGCCAGATGTGTGATTATATACCATCTAATGGCTGTAGCCAATGGTCTAGATGGATGTTCAGTGACATGAAAGGAACATGATTGGAAAACAGTGACAAAGACATTTGGGAAGAGGCGTGATGATAGAACTTAACCAAATGAATGAAGATATTTGTGTCCCATGTGAAGAGTCACAGAAAGTTCACTTCAGCAGAGTAAGACATTAATAATGTCTAAAGTTGATTTTTAATTGATTGTATTGAGAAGTACTTAGGAAATTAGTAAAACACATTTATGTTTATGTTTCTGGAGACAGTTGGACCATGAGGGCTCTAACATTCTCTGCAGATTAATTCAATGATGAAATCATAATTTGCCGGCATTATTGAGCATTAATGGAAATAGAAAGTGGTGCCAGTTTGAATTCAGTGGAGAATGTGCCTTGACCTCAGGGACTATAGCTGGTCAATGGCCCTATCCCCTAGTTCTCTTGCCTTCTCTGCTTCCTAAGTCCATAAGGTAAGCAGTTTTGCTCTATCGCACACTTTGGCCATGATGTTCTGACTTACTGTACGCTCACAGCAATGGAACCATCTGATTACAGACTGAAACATTTGAAGTTCTGACCCAAAATAAACTTTCTTTCTCTGTACATAATCACAGTGACAGAAATCTAACTGATATAACAACTGCTACAGAAATGTGAGGTTATTGGTGTGATTAAACCTGATCAGTTTAGAAGCTTTTGGAACTGGCTTATGGGAGGGGTTTAGAAAAGTCTGGAGAATAGGCTAGGGAAACCTTGTAAACAGCTTGAAGGGAAATTCTGGTTGAGGCCCGGAAGACAATAATGCTAATAAGAACGTAGACAGTAAAGACTGTGCTCATGAGGTTTCAGATGGGACTGAGAACCACACTGGGAATTGGACTAGAAGCCACTCAAGTCACATTCTCCCCATAAATTGTTTGCATTTTTCAACATCCTGAGAATTTACTGGAGGCTGAAT